ACATTTAAAAATGGGAAGAAAGGAGCTAAAGGTGTAGGGAAGGTGGGATGGGTAGGGGAAGAGTAAAAAGGGAAAAGAAAAAAATGTGAGAGAATGAAAAGATGAAAATAAAGTGTTTGTAGATGGGGAGGGGAGGAGGGGGTGAAGGGAGGGCAGAGGTAAGGGGAAAAAATGAGGATCAAGACTTGTCATGTAGAGTACAAGATCCCAACAATGAATGTAACTGTACTGTATCCCTAAAATGTACCAATAAACTCAATTAAAGCTGAAAAAAAAAAAGAAAAGAAATGATGCATGTTTAGTGATTCATATGCTAATCACCCCGATGTTATTATTACCCCGCCTACACCTGAATGAAAGCATCCCAATTTACTTCCCAAGTCCGTAGGATGGTTATGTCGATGGAAAACAGTGAAGTAGAAGAAAGGGGAAGGAGTGGGACGTGTGTCCCGGAGAGGAAAGGGCTGAGCGAGGCTGTGTGCGTCTGGGTCACAATCACGGACGGAGAAGGGCTGGAAGGGCCAGGAAGGCTGGGGAGGAGAGAGCGGCGTGACCGGACCTCCAAGGCCTTGCAAGTGTTCATGCTAAGTGTTTTAAACCGGGTGCAAGGGCGTGATTAGGTGCACATTTTGAACACGTGACTGTGTGCGTGGAGAGACCCGGCTGGAGGTGGGGTAGGAGCAGAACCAGGGAAAGGTGTTCCATGGTGTTTGGGTTTCAGAAGTGAGAGAATGGGTGGCGAAAATGGAGAGAGGTTAGCGTAAAGACGCACTTAGGAGGTCAGATCAGCCCTTGGAGATGTAAAGATGAGGGAATCAGGGAGGGGGCAGACGCTAGAATAGCTTCCGCATCTGTACCCAGAAACTGAACAAATATTAGTGCTGGATGCTGACACAGGCAAAAACAGAAGCGGACAACACTGAATAAAACACCTTGAGTGCAGTTTGAGATAAGTACAGTCTCAGCGAAGTTTGCAGTAGTTATATTCGTCACTTATAGGATTCTTCTATTTTGGTTTCCATGTATTCATTTTTTTAATTTAACAAATCACTGTTAAGCGCTTACTCTGGGATTTGAAAATGGTAGTACAGACATAGTCTTTGAAGGAATTTATACTCCAAGAGAAAGCAATTAAAATAGATAGTGCTATTCATTAAAGAAAAGAAAACAAATATTACCAAGACATAAAAGAGTGCACACGCCTATAATCCCAGCACGCTGGGAGGCTGAGGCAGGAGGATTGCAAATTTGAGACCAGCCTGGGCAATTTAGTAGTTCAATGAGACCCTGTCTCAAAATTAAAATAAATGAATTAGAAGGCAAGGGATGGGGATGTGACCCAGTACAAAGGCCCGAGTTCAATACCCAGGGGTCCATGCAACCCGAGAAAGTGCACCTCTCCCTAGCAGGGTGGAGGTTGCAAATCATGAAAGACTACACGGAGGCATCTGCTGAACCCTAAAAGAAGGGGCCTACGGGAAAAGTTATTCCAGGGAGGGTGAAGGACAAGTGTAGGAGAGAGAAAAGGAGAGCAGAGGGTGAGCTGGAAGTCAAAGAGCTCCGTGTGGCCAAGTGCGCAGCAGGTGGACGGAAGAGCGAGTGAGCCAATTTAGGAGCCTGGCTCTTATGCTAAGGCTGAAATATATTTAGGCGCCTGCCCATCACAATCATTATTTAGAATTTTAATTTAGGTTTTCTCTACTACATTTATGCCCCACCCAACACTTACAGTTCTGTCATCCTCTTTTCCTCCAGGACAAACCCATCATCAAACATTCTGCAAATCAAGAAGTCGCATGGACTATGGACTCTATTCCGAAAGCCACGACGCGACCCCCAGAGCTCATTCAGCAGCTCCTTCCGACTGAATTAAACCTGTTAATATCATGCCCAAAGCATCCTGAGGGATTGCTTTTGTCTGATTGTCCCAACAACTCTTTCCAAGTTGACAGCCAGCATTCTCCAATCCTTACTTTTTACACACCAGTCTGCAGGGTGCTACCCCCCGTGGCATGAACTTACCCAACAGAAAGGGATTCCAGGCACCCACAGCAGTTTAGACACATTCCTTTCTCGTTTCCCTTTCACGTGATAGAACGCCTCTATCCTCTTAGTCTCCCTGAAGTCTGATGCCGAGTTTCCTTCATTCCAGGAGTGCCTATAGTTTTTCTTAATTCTTCTGTCTTGAAATCTCATCTTCCACTAGTCAGGCAGGCTTCTGTTCCAAACAGAAATGCTATGTCCTCCTCTCACCCTATCATTTTATTCACAGAAAAATACTACGGTTCCTCAAACACCTCCTTCCGTTTCATGCCTTTGTTCATGCACTGCGCTCTTTTCTGAAGATATCGTCCCCCTCCTCACCTCCTAGGACAACTCTTAGTAGATCAACATCAAATAATTCTTCTTTTCGTAATTAGCTCTCCTCACTTACCAACCAACCTCCTTCCAAACCTGGAGCACTGAGCAGTCCCTTCTTTGAAGTCAGACCTATCGTATTGTTTACAAATGTTTAAAATAATCTGTGCAATGAGGTTGGGGCCAAGACTATGTGACGTATGATTCATCTTGAGAGCCTCTCTACCCAGACCGTGCTTGGCAGGAAGTGGAGATTGAACAAGTGACTGCCGAACCAATCGGTTATTCAGTTAACGCACAAATATGTCAAAAAGAGCTGCTCAGACATGTGATTAATATCCCTGTCCCACACACGATCACCTCCCATGTGTTGTATATTTTAAAATATTTGTTGACAGCATTGTCAGTTTTAGTCTAGAAATCTGCATGGGGCCCCGCATGCATTTCACTTTGAGAACCATGCTCAGGAATGTTCTAAGTGAGAACACGAGGAATATAACCAGCACGAAGAGGGGGTAGGAGACCTTGCTGGTCCATTTGCCTTATTCGTCAGCAGTAAAACAAAGCTCCAGCGTACTATACACTTCGGTGATTCTTCCACCCACGTACGCACCATCTGTTCATCCATCCACCACCCAGACATCTGTCCTGCACCTGTGCAGGTGCCCACCTACCATTATCCCAAAGTCTGAGTCCCTCCGCACTATGCCAGGCACTCTCTCAGAGGGGTGAGAAGCAAAGAAAATCTGCATGTAAACCAGATCCAAACAAACGCTTATTTGTTTTCAAAACTCCCAAGATGAACAACATGGCAAGCATTTGAATGTCGAGCAGGAACAGGCCAGCTTCTCCTGCAGAAGACGCCTATAGGTCCTGATCTCTGAATGGACATTAAGTGCCTCTTGGCTCCTATTTTCCAAGGAGATTTGAACTAGGGATGTGAGATTCATATTTTAAATGTTTATATAATGTAGCACAGTTGGCATCAAAGATGACCCATTAGGTTCCGAAGTTTGGATGTTTTAGAGGCTTTCTGGGTTGATTTCTTTGCATTAGATTGATCTTCTTGGCATTCTACAATTCGATGTAGAACATCTATCCTCTTAGTTTCTTCTCTCCTTTGCCCCCTAGAGGCCCACAGACTCCCTTGCTTTTCTGTTGCTGAGGGAAGCCCTGCCCTGCACTTCCTGCAAGTTTTTGACTATTGCCATTTGGTTTATTTTTTCTCCAAATCAGCAACCTCAGGTAAGTCGTGTTTGTTGAGGTTGTCACAATGGCCGGAACAAGAAAGACAAGGAATTCTTAGTTCAGGTGAGTGTGAGGCTGGGTTGGCCTCATTTAAGCTCCTCTGAGAGGCTGTTTTCCCGGTTGTTTTCAGTCTGTGGTATTCTCTTCTCTGTCCACCTACCCTGCCTCCCAGCAATTCTTCCTTTTCATCTCACAGGCTGTTCTTTAGCCAACATTGACTACCACTGCTCCGTGACAGTCTGATAGATGGGTCCATACGTGGGCTTCCCAGCGAGGTGGCTTTCCCTGGGACAACCTGGTGCTACTGAAAGAAGGGGAACTGAGATAAAAACAAACCACCCCTGATTTCAACAAGGAAAGGTGTGGAGGAGGCTCCCCGCCTGCTGGCCTGCAGCGGGCACTGAGCCCTGGAGTTAGCACAGCCACAGGACAGAGGGAGCCTGGGCCTCTGAGTCACCATGGAGGCCATTCTATATGTGTCTCACAAGCCACCAAGGTTTGGGGGTGGTTGTCACAGCAGCCGGCTTCCCCTGACCGACACAAACACAAGACTCTGGGGGAAGAAGGACGCTGTTCTGTCGCGTCTGGAGGGGAAGGCTGGACTGCAGCTGCGCACGGTTAGTAAGATGGGGCTTTACCAGAAACACTCACTGGTGGATCCTTTGCTGGCTGAAAGGGGCAGTGTAGCAGTCGTTCTCCTCCAGGTCTGGCAGTGTCTCCTTGTCCAGCCTCATTGGCTTCTTAGGTAACCATCTCCGAAACCTGCTTATTTGTTTATCGATCCTGTGGTACACGGAGGCAAGACCAAAGGGTACAGCACGTCAGCGTTACCGCGAAGACACCAGGGAAGTCTCTGTCACACCGTAACAGCGCTCTCACCACACTCAGGAAGGCCCCACTTTACAGATGGGAAGATGGGAGCCAGAACCCCAGGGTTGTTTTGGTTTCACCAATGGTCTCAATGCCATCATCTCTGAAATAGCAGCTAAGGCTTCTATGGCCATCCGTGTGCCTCTAGATGACCACGTAGTCACAACAAGGCTGGGAGGCTCTGGCAAGGAAACTGACAGTTCCTACAGCAAAGCAGCAGCGACTTCCACTGCTCATTTTGTGCAGGTGCCGGAAGCTCATTTTGTGTCTGGGACACCTCTGTCAGAGCAGAGCTCTAGCTGTGGTCAGCACTGGGGGCAGACAGGGTGATTGAGTGCACACAGATAGCCCAGTGCCAGATCTGCCTCCTGCCTCTCCTACCCGCCCTGAGTGGGCTGCAGGGTCTTCAGCTGTCACTACCCTTTTTTCAAGCTAATTCCATGGGTCTCGTGGTCCTGCAGTACCATTACACACAGGTGTCACTCTGTCCAGCGCACACGAGGCTGCCAAGTCAAGGAAACAACAGCATCCTAAGAGGGGTTGGTAAGCCACATTTTCCTCCTGGCTCCATCCCTGTTCCCTCCGTCCTACTGACTTCTACGGATAAGGCATCTGACATCCAAGTGGCCAGCTGCTGACCGCTGTCCATAGCAACCAGTAGAAGGAGCGAACCCCTCACAAAATGCCAGACTGTGAAACGGCTGTGCTACCTCAGGAATCTACACTGTAGAACTGTTTTCCCCCAGAAGAAGTATCAGGAACCACTCCGATTTCACAAAGAATTTCACAAAGGGAGTCTTGAGGGGTGACTACGGGGCTCCAGCGACCCAGTCAGTAAATAAAGGAAAGCCAGGACCAAAATGCCAAGATTTTCAACTCCCCCTCAACTTATTTTTTGCGGGGGAGGTACCGGGGCTCGAACTCAGGACCTTGTGCTTGCCAGGAAGGCATGCAGCCACTGAACTACATCCCCCCACAACCTTTTTTAAAAGTGATTTTGGATTTCTGATTTTAGGGATCACTGCACAGTTGATGATTACATTTAAGAGATACAGAAGAAGCATTTCTCCAGCAAATACCTAAATGTTTCCTAAGTTTATTGTTTACTGAAAATACCTGTGGTTCAATCGTGTTTTATTTTTTCCAATTAAAAAATATTGACAGAGCAGTTTGTTATTTTTCATGAATGTGGTGGCAACTTGCCTGGGGACGCCTAAACAGCTGGTAGAGCATTTTTCTAGGTGAGCCCCTGAGGGGACTTCTGGAAGAGACAGAGACGGGCACTTCTGGCATCTCTAGCGTGGGTAAGGATGCTCGCTGGCAGTCAACCAGAACCACGAAGGCCTGGATGAAACCAAAAGCTTCAGGATTCATCTTCTCTCGCCCTCCCACAGCTTGGGCCTGGCTCTAGGCCTGCAGACTCGGACTGGGCCTTACACCATTTGATTTCCTAGGCCTGCTGCTCGCAGGTTGGCAGCCACGGGGCTTCTCAGATCCTACAGGGGTGTGAACCAAGGGTTTAAATCTCCACCCGAGTCTACGGGCCAGAAAGCCGGGAACTCTGGTTTCTGAGGGCAACAGAAGATGGTGTCCCGGCTCTGTCTTCCCTCTGCCTTTTTGGCAATGACCACTTCTTGACTCAGTCTGCGGATTCGAGTGCTATGTCTTCTGAAAATCCCTCACGGATACATCCCCAAACTATGTTTACCCTACTTCCTGGACAGTCCTGAGCCCAGTCAAGCAGACACGGTAAAAACACTGGTCCATTGCTCTTTTATTTTCAGCACTGTTTCACCTCCCATGACCCCACCTCTGCTGGCCCAGCTGTCCTCTCCAGAGCTCCAGAAGGGATTTCGTAGCTGCCCTCAGCCTCTTCTCCTACAGGACCTTCCTTCTCCTCCTTTGCAGAGAAGTACAGATTGGATCAGGGGTCACGCTGCCAGGAAAGAGGTACATTGAAAGGGAGAAGTTCCTGCCTCTCCCAGACTTTCTCTTCCTGGTCTTCTCCCCCACCCCAGTCCTCAGCATCTCCTTAAATATACTTCAAGTACAGGAGGAAGCTAAGCTTCAGAGAAGCAGCACGACAAAGACTGAGAACATGAGCTCTAGGCCTAGAAGGGCCGAGGTTCAAATCTTGGCTCTGCAGATAATGGCAGTGCAGCTTTGGGTAAAGTCACCGAATTTCGTTGTGCCTCAATTTTCCTTATCTGTAAAATGGCCATGAATGTGATACCAAGTTCACAGGGCTGTGGATGAACTGATTAACACACTCATAACGTCTTCAGAACAGTGTCTGGTATACAGAGAGTGCTAGATACTGTTATACTTTTCTTTTCAAAAATAAGAATTTAAGCAAACAACTTGCTTCTTAAGATTTCTTTTCATTTTTCAACTCAAAGTTGTGCTTCAAAACCTCTATGACTTGTCTAAGTGCGATGATTTAGTCCTTAAATGGACTCATAAATTAGACCGCCTACGCTAAGCCGGTAGCTTCCCTGTGGCTCTTGGCTTTATTTCATCTGATTGCCTTCAAACTCAAGAAAGAGGACATTGGCCCAAAGGTTTTCTGTAACAGAGCTTTTACCGCCCACACATCTGCAGTCTGCAGCGCTAATCGGATTACATTCTGCAGAATCTGGGCACTGTGTGGAAAGACTATGAATTCAGTCCAGCTGGGTACAATGCTCAGTGCGGGTAAAAGCAAATAAAGCTGTAAAAAAAAAAAAAAAAAAAAAAATCAGGCACAAATACTCTGTGGGAATGAAATGGCAGCTTTCAGAAGCCAGCTGCGGCACCGCAATTTAAATGAAATATGGAGATGGCGAAGAGGGAGAAGAACAGGGCAATGAAAATGATTAATTAATTGAAAAACGAGGCATAAAAAGAAGTGAGAAGGGAACAAGGAGAGACCGCTTGGCAGGGGCCCCCGAAACCTGGTTCTGTTGCCTAAGTAGCTGTGTCACTCACCTTTCTGTCTGTGGTTTTCCAGAGTTATAAAACAGGACAATAGTAACGACAGCCATCATTATCACCATCATCTTAATGATCGCGCAGGGTGGTTAGGAGGCGCATAAAAGCCGGGGTGTACGGAACACTCACCGAGTGCATCAGCAGAGAGCACACACTAACAAGTTCTTGTGGGCCACGCAGCACTAACACGGAAGTGAGGGGAATCAGAAGAACTGGGTTTTCAAAACACTAGTTGAAGAAAGACATTCAAAACACATCTTAAAGATAAAACTGCGAGACCCTGGCTGGGCTTGGGGCTGTGGAGCAGACTGAGCTTCAGCAGAGAGCCTGAACCTCAGCAGGAGATGAAGCACAGACCCTCCAGGTCCCCTCCTATCTGCCTGCTCAGCTCTGGCTTTCCACAGAGGCAGAGACACCTGCACAAGGCCAGAAGCTTGTGGTTTCTTCTGGCTGGAAGGATTACTCCCTGTGATGCCCTCTACTTCCCGGAACTTGTGAGTATGTTAGGCTACATGGCACAAGGGCCTATGAAGAAGTAATCAAGTTACAGATCTTAAAACAGGAAGGGCATCCCGGACTGCTCAGATGGGCCCCGGTCCACCAAATGAGCACATGTGCAGAGGGGATGCAAGAGTCAGAGTGAGAAGGACTCGATCTACCAGGGCTGGCCTTGAGGAGAGGAGCCAGGAGCCAGGAACGCAGGACGTCTCCAGAAGCTAAGAATGGCCTTCAGCTAGCCATCGGTGAGACTTCCGGGCTGTAATGGCACAAACTGCGGTCATGTCAATCCCCTAAAGAAGCCAGGAAGCTGGGTCTCTCCCAGTTTCCAGGTGAGAGCCTAGGCTGACCGATACCTTGATTTCAGTCTTGTGGGCACTTGAACAAAGACAGCCTCACCCCACCCAAGGCTTCCAACTTTCCGAAATATGATAATACCTTCATGTCACTTTGTGCAGCTCAATTTGTGGACATGTCATGATAGCAACAGGACACTGACAAGCCTCTTAAAACCAGTCTGGGTCTGGTCACCAAGGATCCCCTCGAGGATCCTCTCTGACCACGCAGAGGATAGACACACAAGACAAAAGCCACTGAGTGGCTGGGAAGCCTGAGCCTCAAGCTGGATTCTCGATTCTGTCTCATACCCCAGGGTTGAAGCAGGTAGGGACCCCAGTGATGGGACAAAAGGCTGGGCCAACAAAGTGAGCCCCTGAGGCAAGAAATGATCACCCTGGCATATTGCACCAGACCCTTCACGAGACCCTGGTAAAACCACGAAAGCAGAACATTGGCATAAACTGAGGAATTGTTACCAAAAAGGAAGCCCATTGAAGCCCTCTAGCTTCATATGCTCTAAACACTGCTAATTTGGGTGGTCACAGAGCTGGGCAAGACACTATTAGAGTCTCACTAGCTTTGCTATAGATAGCTCCTGTGCTGTGTGGTCACTAGCTTTGCTATAGATAGCTCCTGTGCTGTGTGGTCACGGTAACTGTTATCTGGGCCATTGGGGACCCAAAGGCCACTTTTTCTGAAAACACTGAGCCTTCGCTTGAGCCTATAGAGATCTGATGGGTGACTCAAATGGAATAAATGGCATGGTGTTTCTGGCCTCGTCTTGTGTCTGTCCTGCGTCAGATGCTACTCAACTCTGTGTGCAGACTTGCTGATCATTTAAAAATGTTTAGTCCAAAACTATAATGCAGGGTTAACTTGGCCCACTGTAGCTGGTGTGTGTTTTCTTTTTTCCCTCTTTCTCCTCTCTTTTCTTGTGCATCAGAAGTCCTTTAATTTTATCATAGGTCTCAGGCCCATGGGCCATGATGTTTTATGCAGGATGAAGGTAGCAGATATATGAAAATTCAACAGCCTCTAGGACAAGTTGATGGTTACCACCAGGTGGTCCAGACAGATCACAAAAACAGACAAACTAAACCTTATAT